TATTAAAACAGAAATGAAGGCAGAAGTCAAAGAGTTAAACAAAAGAAAAAGAACAAAAGAATGCAACTAGATAGTGAAAAGTCACCTGCAGAGCACTTGTTTCTGAAAATTCTCAACAGACTAGACAAACTTGAAGCATAACATAAAGATGCATTTGTGAAATAGAGTCTCACAAATTACTTATGATAGTTGCCAAAGTTGAATTAATAATAACAGATATAGAGATCAGCTTCTCTTCATACGAACAAGAAGAAAAACCAAAAATATTTTAAAAAAAGTTTCTGTATCTGAGAAAAGAAACTGAAGAGGCCACAATTAAATAGTTTAAATCATATAAGCAAAATAAAAACAAATAAAAACCAATAGAAGCAGAGTAGCAGAAAAGACTGTATATAAACAAACAATTAGAAGAAGAATATACAAAAACAATAAAATAGAATTAAGCCTAACTACACATAATATCAATAGACTCAAATCAAATAACCAAAAGATAAAACAATTATATGAATAGATAATAAATAACAAACTAGATATAGTTGGCCTAGTAGACAAAAATATTTTAGCAAAAAAAAGTTTTTTTTTGACAAGACATATAGAAAGTCATAGGAGCTTCTGAACTAATGCTAATTCAGATAAGAAAAAAAGTTCTGCTATGGGCTTGCTAATTAGTAAACAATAGGAAAAACATTTGGGCCAAATAAAAAGAACAAACAAATATATAATTGCAGCAAGTTTTATGTTTAAGCAACTAGAAATCATAGTTATTATGGTTTATCTACCACCAAATGACAAGAAAAAAGAAAGATAGTTCAAAAAGCAATAATAGATAAATCTATAAAAAGGCTCTCAAGAACACAAATAATTGTAATAAGTAATTTCAACAGTGTAGTCAACGTAAACTTGAATAGACAAATGAAATCCAAGAAAAAGAAACAATCCAAACCAAATCAACTACTTGAATGGTTGAAAAGACAAGAATTTAAAGATGCTTTTAGAACTATTAACCTGAATATGAAAAACTTCTCATGGTCAGGCTGAGGATCAGAGTCAAGAATAGATTATATTTGGCAATAGAAAAGCTAGCCAATGGTCTTTATGAGTCAGAGATCCAAAGCATAGATGTGATAACAACTAGTGACCATAATGCAGAATTAGCAGAAATTGAGTTAAGCCACATAATCAAACTATATAGTGCAGCTAAAATCAGAAAAGCGAATTACAAAAGAACAGTTTTTTAATATAATAAAGCAACAAAAGAAAACTGAAAAAACTATAGACAAAATCTGGAGTTACAACTTGAAAAGAAAATTAGTATACAAGATTGGTATCGATTCTTATAATCAAGAAAAGCTGCTAGAGATTATGATTGCATAGATGAGTAGTAAAACATAATAAGTAATTGTATTATTAGTTTAGCAAGAAAGAATATTCTAAAGAAAAAAATTTCAAATATACTGGTTGCAAGACAAAAGCAAACTAAAGAAGTACATTTAGGTAAACTCTTATACAGTAAGAAGATAGATAAGTATAGAAAGGAAAAACATCCAGCTAGGCTTTCTAAAAGACTATATAGAGGTTTTAAATGAAGAGATTGCCTACATAAACTAGCAACATAGAACTTATATAGACCTAGCCCAGAGTTGGACACAAGAGCTTATCGATGATCTGAAAGGTTGGTGGAGAATCTTACAGGCTAGAAGAGCAAGTGAAATAGAGATCAAGAAAAGGAAAGAGATAAAAGATAATATAGAAAAAAGATATCAAATAATCAATGAAAAACAAGAAAAAATGTTAATAAGCTTGCTTAAAAAGCCAACCAAAAAGATCAAAATAGATAGACTAATTAATGAAGAAAATAGTTATAGAAACCTGTTCATTAAACCAGCA